GCACATTCTGTCTCTCACAGTTGAAGTGTACCTCTGGTGCAAATTACTGACCTCTGTCATCATTATAAGTGGGGGAACTTGCACAATTGATGGCTGACTAAATACTTTTTTGCCCCACTGTATGCTCACATTGGTTACTGCTATAATTTTGAGACACTCACATAGCATAGTCCAGACCTTCCCAAAGTGTGGGGCCCGCCCCCTGGAGGGGGGGGGGGCGCAGAGCCCTTGCACGGGGGCCACGGTATGAAAAGGAAAAAACAAAACAAAAAAACCCCAAAGCTTGGACACTGCTAGAACGGGGCGCCTCCACAAACACAAATCAGGAGATGAAGCATCGCTGAGCCAAAGACTAGAAAATATGGTGAAGCATATCTTCCCTTTGGCTTCACCTGCACAAGTGCCAAGGTAGGTCTCCCCTGTAGAATTGGTTTCCCTTCGTCGGGAGCATGGGCTGGGTTCTTCAAATCACGGACAAACAGTATCCCACATTCTTGATTTTTAGTTCACAAACACTTGTTGTAATGACTAACTACTCCTGACATTTTGGAGATGTTAGCTCTTTATACAGTAAAGTTACAGCGGGATACATCAGGCTGATCCTGCCACAATTTGCTCCCCCTGTACAAATCACGGACAAACAGTATCCAACAGTTGTTTATGTTTTTGGGATTGAAAAATGTATTGATAGCAATGTTGAATATTATTACACAGGAAAAAAACCAACTACACGTAAAATAATCACATCGTGACGCCTCTGCCTTTCTAAATAGAAGGACAGTAACTGCGTGTGTGTATGTAAGCGTGTAAAACCTGAAGATTGTAAGATTAACACTCTCTAATTTCTACCACTACCATGCTTACTCTGTTACGTCGAACGTTAAAACTTCATGGCAAGTTGGGAGACATGAAATCACCTATTTGTGTGACAAATAAAAAAATCAACATCTTTATGATTTGTGCAAATAACTGTATACATTCTGTTTATTATCACACAGACAAGTTTTACAAGCCTATTAATCACAGTAGAGTTCATTGTGTTGGTGGATTAAAGGCTTCATTGTTCTCATTGTGCATCAGCAGTGTTTTTTTCTCTGTCATTAAATAACTACAGGTGAAAAAAAAAGAGATTATATATCATAATCAACATCATATTAACATGGTCACAACTATGTTTTCGGTATCATTTTAAAATGAACAGAATTTTATGTGCATGGATAAGAAGACAAACTTTGAAATGCCCGTAAAGGTTAACATACGTCACGGGGTGTGTTCCAGAAAATGAAAGTAAAACATAAGAAAGGACAAAGAGTTTTTTTGTCTCTGTAGGACATCTGTTGGTTTGTAGCGGTAATGTCAGCTTTTGAAGTTTTTATTTAGTAAGAATGTTTTTTTTCCTGTTGTATAAAATGATTTTAAGTTGAACACCTGCGCTGAAGCAGTATCTTGGTCAGACTTGTTATGGATCATTTCCACTTTCTTTGCCTCTGTCATGACCTCTATTATGTGCTGTAACATTAATAAAAACTTCACCAAAGATAAAGTGCAAAGTGTAGCTTTTCATACAGGTCAAATAAATAATCTTATGCTATACTGACAAAATATTAAAGAAACATTTTTTAATTCAACACTCAAACGCTTCATGATTTTTGTTTCCACTGATGTGTGTTTGGATTAGAGTTGCATCATTTTTGTTCTCAACAAATCACCGAGAGTAAGTCAGTAAAGATTTCCAACTTAAATATTTCAAGCTCAGGAGTGTTCCCTTAATAGTTCTGATCTATAAATACACCTTTACTGGAAATGTCCCAGTTAGAGCTGATCAGCTGTCAGCGATCACACTGGGTGTGTTCATAATGAAAAACACCCTTTGTTGGTATGGTGAAGTGCAAATGCAAATCAAAGGTGAGAGCACTTTTCACTGTGGAGCTAGTTTGAAAGACATTGAAAGCTTCTCCAGATCAGGATTTGAAGCAAAATGGATGAATGTCTGCACCCAGTGTTCTTTGAAGCTGAGGAGCTCACAGACAGTGAGAAGGAGAAGATCAGGAGATACTTTCAGAAAAAAAGACATTCTGGGGGAGGTGACTGTGGGATAATAGAAAAGGTCGGAGATAAAACCTACCGCATCTGTTTTAAGGAAAAAGAAGGTAAGAAGCCCTGCTGGGTTCAAATGCATTACAAGTAGATTAGAGCCCAAATTTACAGTTTAGATATGTGCATTCCCATAACAGCTGAACTTTGTTTTTCTGATATACTTTAGATCAAGAGCATGTTTTGAGAAGAAACACACACACCATCAATTTTAATGGTCGAGATTTAAATATAACATTGAGTGAATCTAGTCCCAGCCACGGATCTGCAAATCTCCCACAGGTGCGGTTACACTTATTACTGCTTTTACTTTCATAATAATAATGACAGGTGTTTGACAAACCCCAACCATTAAAAAAAACAACAACACTGGTTTTCTTTTGCAATACTACATTTGCATAGGGGCTGCCAAGTGAGTAGGGTACTAACAGTGCGCCACACATTCAGTTTGCTTATTTGTCAAGAGGACAACAAAATACAATGACCAAAATAATTGTAGAGAACTAAATGTGTAAGTCTTGGTTACTGTTTTACCTCATATTAACCTAATACTTATATGCAACAGTTGTAACATTTACACTGCATTTATTCAGTGTGTGTGTGTGTGTGTGTGTGTGTGAGTGTACTCTTATTTGGGAGGCAACAGAAGTCAAGCATTGCTTTCCTATGCAGTCAAAAATGTCATAAGTTTAAATTCACTTTATAAGCAGTTATTTTTTTAACTCTGAGCTCAGTAACCTTCTGCTGTTTGAATAATGGCAAAACATACAAAACAAACCAAAGCAAACAAAGTCACCGTCTGACCAGCCAAACCAGTTTTGAACACCTGCGTTTTGAATGCTCTATGAGTTACTCAGGCATGAGGCACTTTAATTAGATATGCATGCCTATTGTTACTTAAAATGGTTTATCCACTGATCCATACATCTATTCTCTTCAGCTTAACCGTATCAGTGCTGTTGGGGGTGGGGGCTGGAGCTGTACTGTTTCTATTTGTCTAAAATTATTTTTCTTTTGTAGACAGCTAAAGGTCTTCAGAAGACTTTCTCCTTGGATATTTTCCTGCTTTATTACCTGAGAGACAACCTCAAAGCATTCAAAATTCTGAAAAAGCAGCTATCTTCAGTCGGCTGCACGGTGGAGTTTAATTTTGAGGAGGAGAAGGCTGTAGTTAGAGAGGACATGAGGAAAGGGCCAGGAGTATGCTCTGCAGAGAAAGTGGAGCAACAGCTGGCTTGGGTCTTCACCAGTCTCATCGACACCTACCTCTGCTATCATGTGGTCAAACCAAAACAAGTGAAAATGGTACTGCAGGACTCGGCCTTTAAGACAGATGATATCAAAGTTTACACAGAGAGTGGCTATGCTGTGGTTGTGGGAGAGGTTAATGCTGTGAAGGAGAAGATTGCAATTCTGAAAAAAAGCCTACCCACCAAAAAAGAGCTGCCACTTGTAGAGAAATTGTTCAAGCTCGTAGAAGAAGAGTTCAATCGAGAAATGTTCGCTAACTATCCAGATGTTAAAGTCGTCAGAGGTAGTGCCATGATCACTTTGGAGGGCCCTGACAAAGAGGTGCAGTCAGGAGCTGCAAAACTGGTTGAACTGATTAAGAACGTAAAGGAGAAGAGCGTTAAGTTCCCTACAGCTCTGCTAATCTTCATGAAGACCAGTGGTGCCATCTCCAAATACCAAGCTCGTTTCCAGCAGAGGCTCAGAAACCCTGTTTTCTTTGAGGTGGGTTCAGATCTGGTTCTGTCCAGTTTGTCCTCTGATGCTCTGAATGAGGCCGAGGCAGCAGTGATGAGAGACCTTAAATCGGATATTATAGAGCTGCAGGGAGCTGCAGCAGTACCTCCAGATTTAGACAGAATGAAGGAAATCCTGATGAAAACGAAGAAAGAAGCAAACATTAGTGAGCTCAGAGTGGATGTGAGCTTCATTCCAGGAGCCAGAGGAACTGCAATGACCAAAGTACGACTGGTGGGCTACAGTGAGGATGTTAAAAAGCTCAGTGAGGTCCTTCGTGACTTCCAGATAAATAAGGTTACGACTGAAGAAATGAAACTGCCACATCCTGAACTGGTTGACTGCTTTGATAAAGTATTAGGCTTGATCGGTATGAAGCAATCTAATATGACCTTGAAAGCCTCACATGTTCCACATCCCTGTGTGCTCGTGAAGGGTCCTCGTTCTCTGGTTCAGAAAGTTCGAACAGACTTAGCCACGAGTCTAGCGCAGCTGTCAACTGATACAGTGGTGTTAAATGAACTGGCGGTGCAGTGGTACTTTCAGGGAGATGGCAGACAAAACACAGAACTGGTGGAGAGATCCTGTCAGGTCCTCATCAGAGAAAAACAACATCTTCAAAGTACTGGAACTACATCAAATTTGTACTAAAGATCACAATACAGCAACAACATGAGACAAATATTAAACGTAATCTGCTCTTCTTCCTCTCAGCACCCACGAGTGACCTTGCTGACATCACCATAACTCTGAAAGGCAGAGTTAAACTACAAGTGGTGTTTGGTGACATCACTAATGAGACTACAGATGCTGTGGTGAACACAACGGACTTCAAAGACTTTCAGACAGGTCAAGTACTGTCATGAGTAAACAAAAGTTACTCATTGCTGAACACCATCAAAGCACCATAAATTACACAGGACCTATTGTGTATTAAAGAGGATATTGTAGGAGCACTGACTGGCCTTTACAGTCCATTTGCATTACAACAATTTCAGTGATGGTTATTATTATTATTATTATTATTATTATTATTATTATTATTTATGTACAGATGGAGTGTGCAAAGACATCTTAAGAAAGGCTGGGCCTCAGGTTGAGGCTGCACTAAAAAACAGTGAGAAGAATGATTCTCAGAAATATTTCCAAATTTATATTTACATCGTAAATCATTTCTAACAATTCGTATCATCTCATGTGTCTTTATCGCATCCATGCAGGAAAAGTGAACAGTGGAGAGATTTTGGAAACACCGCCTGGCATGTTCCCTTGTAAAGCCATTTTACACGTGTGTGGAGAAAAAGATACAGTTGCCATCGAGCAGCTGCTTCGTCGCATCATTCAACTTTGTGAGTCTTCTGATTACAAGTCTTTGGCTGTTCCTGCCATCTGTGCTGGTGAGTAGTGTGGGAGTCATTAAAGATGCATAAAACATCAAAGCTATTTATGGACTTTTGTTTGAATGGTTGTCCAGGATCTGGTGGATTGGACCCCGATTCTGTGGCACATGCCATCCTCCAAGGGGTTAAGACTGCTGCCTCGTCCCATCCTCTCCAGCGTCTCACCAACATTCGCCTCGTACTCAACAAGCTCACTGTGTTCCTGGCATTTAAAAAGAAAGCAATGCAGATGTTTCCCTTTGCTGTGATCAACTCAGGTAATGCAAAGTCAACTTTTCTTTGATAATACCACTGTCCTTTGATTTTATTTAAAGCTTACTTACTGTTGTTTTAACCACTTTACAGTGTCAGCTTATGCCCTGCAATGCTTTAATATTCAAGTAATGAACGACCCAAGGATCCCTCATATCAGCTCTACTGCCCAGCAGTCTGCTTTCTTGATTGTAGGTCTGTGCAGAAAAAATGTTGATGATGCCATTGCAATGCTCGGGAGAGTGTATCAACCCCTGCAGTCAACACAAACCCAGCAGGAGGAGAAAAGTTATTCTTGGGACTGTTTTTTAATGTAGGCTTCTCTGGGTTGTTGGACAGTGTCATGTAATTATTTTCTTATTATATTGTTTATTATTATATTATTATATTGTACTTTAATAATGAAGGTTTGCAAAGCAAGGCCACTTTTGACTCATAAACTAAGTGCTCAGCCAGACTGAAAAACAGGAAGTTAGTGTAGAGCTATACAAGCATATTAATAAATACAGGAAGACAGACAGAAAAGAGGAACTTTGCCATATAAGGAATGTTTGTATCGAAACTGTGTGACGTGTAAAGTACCAAAATAATACCTATATGAGACACAGTTTATGATTCTAATGTTAGAGATCCTGCAACTGGCATTTGGGCTGTGCAGGGGTCTCTCTCTTCCGGAAGATGATTGAATAAAAATAAATATAAATGTTTTAACACACTATGAGTCGGTTTTCTCTGTTCTATCATGGGGACAAAAGAATCGGGGTTTAATAACAGGTAATCCTTTTTTTTTCTTTCTCTTTTGTTCTTTAATATGTGGTCAGAATGATTTACGTATGTTCAGTTACAATATGTACTGTTATATTGTTCACATTTGTGCACAGCTCTACCAAAAGGGTGTTTCTTATGTTTATTCTAAATAAGTGACTGTAGAGTATTTTTCTTTTGCACAATGTTGTAGAATTACAAACAGCCTACACAGTAAAAATGTGAAACATACATATTCAGTGTCTTGTACTCACTTACTTCCCTAACTACAGGAATGTCTAACTTTTCTGTAGATTTTACTGTACTTGGCTGTACAAAAAGTGTATAGTGCTGTCTTGAGCTTTTTCAGGTAGTGTCACCGAATTCTGACCTTTTTTGCATTGGAAAACACAGAGAGAATACTGTGAACTGTCATAATGAAAACATGACAAAGCCATTTGACTATCTTGTTCATAAAGATGGTGTCAAGACTTCTCACTTTGATAACACCGGCAGTTTCATTGACATGAATACTTGCTTTTGAGGAATGGATTATTGATTTTGAGCAAGTGACCTGCTTTTGCAGCTTATCCACTAGGTTTTGCAGTTTGCACCAAACGTTTTGAGAAATACACTAACTGCTGTGCAAATGTTAATAGTGATGTGAGAAAAGCACCAAAGCAACTGAGAAAAACTGTAAACAAGGAAATGCACCGCAAAATACAGTTACAACCTCAAAATGTGGGTGAAAGCACTGCACAATATTCATGGTATAGCTTTAAAATGCTGACATTGTCAGAGCTTCTGTTTCTGATCTGAATAACATAAGACATCAAGCAAGAGGGATGAAAAGCTGAGTGATTTTGATATTCATGGAGCTCAGATGTAGTGTGTTTCAGTAGGCTGTGAGGACTGTGGATAGATAGATAGATAGATAGATAGATAGATAGATAGATAGATAGATAGATAGATAGATAGATAGATAGATAGATAGATAGATAGATAGATAG